TTTAAAAACACATATTTTTTTAAAATATTAGCGAGATAAGTTGTCTTCTACTAATTTTATTAATATTAGTATATTAATGAATAATTTAGAATTTTTTTAATTCATTTAATATATTTATTAAAATATCTAAATATTAAAATTAAAAGTATATTGTTTAATAAGAACTAGTAGATGCTATAATAAAATAATTTTTAATTTACAATGTTGTAAGAAGAAAGTCACATCACTATAGTATATGTGGACAGCCTATGTGGACAATGAGGTGGCATGGAAACCTGGTATAATGGATAAATTTAAATCAAAAGGTTACCCAATGCTATAATGGGTAAATTTTTCAAAGTACAATGTTCTAATAAAAAATAGTTTAAAAGTACATTGTTGTAATAAGAAAAACTGGAAGTACAATGCTATAATAAAGAAATTTATGAAAGTAGATTGCTATTTTGTGCATTTTGCCCTATTTGCTATTAAATATGAAAGTTATTAATAAATCTTAATTAATAAAACGTAATAAAGAAAATTGTATAAATGGTAATATTTAAATATTTAATTATATTATAATATTAAAAATTTGAATTTGATATATTGTTATGAGATTGAATTTGCAAACGGGTCTTGAAGATTGAATTGCATTATGGAATGAAATCGTAAATTATGGTTCAAATTAAAAAAATAATGTTAACGAAACAGGTTTCATGAAGGTGTACTAGTAGAAAAAATGGAACATGAAACAGGTGCATAATTTATTTGTTCGTCATGAAATAATTGCATGATGAAACGGGTACATGATGAATCTGCTTCGGGATCTTGAAGATTGTAATTTGCTCCAGAATCTTGAAGATTGTAAGGAGTAAAAGAAAGAATGCATCAAATCATGAGTGAAATAAAAAAATTAATTTACATGAAACATGTTTCATGGTGTAATTGAACAATGAGTGGTGAACTGCTTTCATGGTGAAACCCGTTTCAGTAATGGTGTAGGTGATCCATTCAGTAGATGAAATGAAAAATGAAACTGGTGCATAATGTAGGCGGTTCGTCATGAAATAATTGCAAGATGAAAAATAAATTAGTTTTATTAATAACAATAAATGTTAACATAAAAATGTTAACTTAAAAATAATAAATTACTTTACAAAAAATAGATTAGTTTCATTAATAATATAATATACATGATATGGTTTCCTTGAATAAATGAATATTTGGTTTTACTCTTTTGCCCTTATCGGTATTATAAAATGTATTTCTAATTTTCTTAAATAAACTTGATTAATCTTAACCATTAATCAAAAAAAAAATATGAATGAAATTGGTTTACACGGTTTATACAAATGAAGACGATTTTTATTTGATCGTTTCTCTATTTATATATATAATATATAAATATATTCTCCTAGATACTAGTAGTCGTATGGGGTCAATTAACCTAAAGAAAACAAAAGCATAAAAAAAGCTTCACCAAAGTACTTTCCTGTCCTCCACAATCTACGCCAGGGTCGTTGGTATTCAGGGGTAACTTGGTAATTACATCTCACCTTTTTGTTCTACAAATAATAAAGTTGGAAAAATCGACAATATCTTCACTTTTTATCAAAATTATTTTCAATTTGATTAAGATAGCTAAAATTTTACAATTGTTTCTTAAAAAACGTATGTTTTCTAAATTTGCTTCAAAATAACCCGTCATAATCATATTTTATCTATAATTATTGAGTTTCGTTGAGAAAGAAAGTTAAGATGAAAAACGTAAGAAAAGATGCATATATTTGTTCCGTAATATATTTATTTCACATATCTTCAGTTCACAAGATGAACCTTTTTTGGCATGTTTATGAAGACAAAAAATATTTGTAAAACAAATATATGTTAATCAATAAATTAAATATTATACTTAAATGAAAAAAAAAACAATGTAAAATAAAACCTTAAAATAGAAGTTATCACATATCTAACAATCTTTTTGAAGTTCTCAAAACATTAAGCCTCTAAAAATAGATACCGAATATATAAAACTTAAAAAATTATCGATTAAAAATAATTAAAAAAAATAACTTGGAAAATTAACCAAAACAACCAATCAACAAATAAAGTTTCACTTTTTAGTCATTTTCTGACTCAAATTCCTTTTTATTCAATACTTACATACATGCGTAAAGATTTTTTTTTCTACGTAAAAATCGACTAAAATTTGAATTTAAATTAAAAATAGCTAAAAAGTACAATTTGTAAATTTTCAGATTAATATTACTCATATTTGGTTGACTGAAAAAAAATACATACATTCAGTATGATACTATTATACCATCCGTATAACCAACTAGAAGCTGTACATTGACCAACGGTCAAAAACCCCTTGGTCCCTCATTCTGCCGGGATAATCGCCGGACCGGAGATACATAAACCTGACTCTGCACCACCATTTTCCCAATCTTAAATCCCGGAACCACCGTAAAGGCCACCCGTAGCTCATCGCCGATCTCATCATCCATCACACTTTCCATATATAGATTCGAGAATCGACATCCTTTCGTCGCACGGAACACACTCACTTCCTCATGAAACGACAACGCCAGACACCGTAGAATCCACACGCGCCGCGCCATCTCCGCAAACGCGCCGAAGAACGGCGTCTCCGGGAACTGCCAGGCGTTTAACGTTTTCCGTTGGCTGAGATTGCCGTAGAACGAGAACTCCATTTTCGGATGCACCAATCGCATGTACTTGGCGCGTGTAAACTTCGCGAAAGGTGATCTAGGGTTTTGTTTCAATAGATGTGTAGTTGTTAACGATTTTAGCTTCTTGAATTGATAGAAATTCTGGAAACGATCTTCTTCGTCTTCGTCGGATCGAACATTGAAACCCTCGAAGATTTCACGAGTGACGTATGATTCGAATGCGAAACATTTGTAGCTCGATTTGGGGAAAATCTCGTCCGGCTCGATTGCTTTTACAGCAGCATCGATATCCCAATTTGCAGCTTCCATATCACAAATCAACAGCTTCACGAAGTCTTGTATGGATCTTAAGGCGTAATCTAATACTCCGATGAAATTTGTTATGGTTAGATCCGATAGATTTTTGTTGTCCAAGAGCGGGAAGCATCTGCTCGAACTGAGCCTCGATTCGATCGATTTGTTCGTGGAATTGGCCGCCATTAACACATTCTCGAGCGACGAGATCTCTGAATCCTTCGATTTGATTTGTTTCTCCATTTTACTCATGGTGATGTGGTACATCTTCATGAGAGATTGTTGTTCTTGGATCTCGGATAGCAACAGAGTCACATGAGGAGGTGAAGCATCGATCTGTTTCTTCATGAAGCTTCGTTTCAGTTCCGAAAGCGATTTGAGCTCATCAACGACAACCTGATCTGCAGACTGTATAGCTCCTCCATCGTAAGGGAACTGCGCCGCCTGTAGCTCGGCATACGCTGCTTTCAACGATGAAACGGTGGCGAAAAGCTTGGCAACAAACGCATCCATGGCGGCTCTGTTCCTAACCTCCGCTTCGTCCACCAACTGTTTGTCGAAATGCCGGTCGGAGTTTTTGAACTTGTCGTTAGGGAGGTGCAAGCAGAAGCCATTGTTGGAGAGAGATTTTGTTGATTTCTTGAAGGTGATGACTCTTTGGAACGTTTTGGAGAGTTTGGTCCGGGATTGAGGTGCGGCGGAGGTGGTTGACGCCATCAAAGAGGTGGTTGTGGGGTATGGCGGAGGGTTTGGGAGGACATGAAAATGAGAGATATACGGCGGTGCTGCGGCGTTTCTTGTGGTGAATGCCGGAGATTATGGTGGTTTAAAGCGCGGGAAAAAGTGAAGACAGAGACACGCTGGAGAGAGTACCTGCAGAAATAATTGTTTCAATTTAACTCATTATGCATCATTTAAATATTTATTTTATTCTTAAAAAAATTTGCAAAAGTTGATGTTCCATGTATAATTAATAAAATATTAAATTTAAATAATTTTTTATTTCATAACTTTTATATTTTTTAATATTAAATAAAGAAAGTTAAGTTATTAAAACCCAATCACATCTAAATGAATTAAATGTGATAATTTACTTTAAAATCATGTTCGGTAATTAGTTGATAAATTAGACATGTTTAATGATACTAGAAGGATACTCGTGTAACGCAATGAGATGCTTTTTTATTTTCATGTCTTGTTTTACTTTTTTTTTTGTCTATGTTCATATAATACAGTTTACGTGGTTTTGAGAATAACAATGTTTTTTACTTTTGAATAAAAATAAACACTACTATAAAATTGAGTTTATAGGACACCCCAATTCTCTAAGTGTCTCAATAGACCTCTTTATAGGACACCCCAATTCTCTAAGGGTGCGTTTGGTACGTTGGACAGGGTGGGACAGAACAAGACAGAACACAATTGTCCTATGTTTGGTGTGGTTTTATGTGGGACTAACTAGAACAAACTAGAACAAGGGTGGGACAAGGTTGTCCACCCTTTACCCATGGAACTAAGTAGAACAAGAAACTTTTTACCACTTTACCCTCAAAAATCTCATACGCATACCTTCCTTTTTCCCCTTCACTCTCCTATCCTCCATCCCTTCCACCGCTCAACCGACGACCGGTGACGGCGACTTCCGATGGCCGCCGCTGCTGCTTCTCCAATGGCCGCCGCCGCTGCTTCTCTGATGGCCGCCGCCGCTGCTTCTCCGGATGGCCGCTGCCGCTGCTTCTCCCTTCGATGGCCGTCGCCGCTGCTTCTCCGATGGCCGCTGCCGCTTCTCCGATGGCCGCCGCCGCTGCTTCTCCGCTGCTGCTTCTCCCGATGGCCGGCCGCTGCTGCTTCTTCCGATGGCCACCGCTACTACTTCTCCCGATGGCCGGCCGCTGCTGCTTCTTCCGATGGCCGCCGCTGCTGCTTCTTCGATGGCCGCTGCTGCTTCTTACAGCAACTACATCACGAATTTGAAGAAACTCTTCAAATACCTTTCTTCTTGTTTCATGCAAGTAAGGAATTATATTTTGATGGTGGTTTCGTACTCGATTTCGCGAACAACTTGATTAATTGAAGTACTTATTAGGGATTTTAATCAAGTATTATGATTTATTTCGAGAGTTTACATTGATTATGATTGCTGAATGTTGTTGTTGTTATTAATGAATTATTAGGGCTGTAGTGGTAGTAGGAYCAGTGTTACCCGAATGCATTTCATAGTGAAAAAACACTAAACAGCTCACTGGGGGTAAATTGGTCATTTTAACCAGTTCTATCCTGTCCTGTCCTGTCTTACCAAACGCTGAACAGCTGTCCTGTCCTGTCATGTCCTGTCCCGTCCCGTCCCGTCCTGTCCTGTCCTGTCTGCGCACCAAACGCACCCTAAGTGTCTCAATAGACCTCTTTATAGGACTTGCTTATAGAACCAAAATATAAAGCATCATATCTAACGATGGTGTAATAAGTTTATATGACGCTTTTGGACGTCTCAACAAGTTTTTTAGGACATTTTTTGATACAAAGTGTCGCGTTAGTAACTTTATAGGACACTTTTGAGAAGTGTCCTATAAACTGAATTTTTTATACGACATTTATTTTATAGGAAAGTTTTTCAAATAGTGTCATATAAAGTTGTTAATTGGACGCTTCTAAAACATTATTTTCCAAAATTAATATAAAATTTTGAAATTGTGTAACTATTGCTTCTAAAACATTATTTTCCAAAATTAATATAAAAATAAAAATAAAAAAATAGATAGAAAGAGTATGGGATGCTTTTAAGCTAAAATTAATGAGCATTTAATTTGACATCATCATAGATACCAAACTTTCTTCTTCTACAATACTCATTCTTTATTACTCCTACTTGCCATCAATTCTCAAATCTTCCCTAATTATTCTACATTTATCCCTCTTTTTATATTTTTAGATTTTTTTAACCTGTATGTCCAATCCACTATACGAGCCGACTAATCTCAAAACGACCACCTATTTTGCAGGAAGCCCGGAGTCACAATTACACATTTCTAAAACTATGTGTTTTTATATTTTTATGAACACTTATTATGCGACGGAATGAGTTTAATAAATAGGTGTGAACTTGATACGGTAACAAGTTTTTTCTTTGATATCGTGTACCAACCAATTGTTGTTGGTACACGAACTTTTATACTGTGTAAAAAATCAACTATAATTAGTATCAATTCTTTTCGGTTGGTACAGGTTGATATTGGTTTTGTACCAACTTCAAATTACATATATGAAAATTTGTCTTTATGTTCAAATTTTAGTATTTAAAACATAAAAAAATTCAAAAACTAATAAATAATAAAATAAGTCGGTACTATGGTATTAGTATGGTACGCGACTCTCAATACCATATACACAATGTGATACCCATTGTGATATACTGTGATACCGATTTCACCGGAGGCTGGAGATTGTGGGTCGGAAAGATGAGAGAGGAGAGAGAAGATTTTTAAAAATACCTAATATGCCATCTAATTATAATTTTAACTAAAATTACCATAATTATTAATTTTCTAATTTATCCGTTGATTTGTGGTTGAGATTGGACCTCACAGCTACCACAAACTATAAGAACGATGAAGTTTAAATCGCTCCTTTTTGTACAAACTAGCATCAACTAATAACATAATTTTCTTTATTTTTAATTCATAAAGGTATTACTGTCCTTTGACTTTATAATAGATAATTTTAGTAATATTTTAATTGTTTCTAAATCGGAAAGATTATATAGATTAAAGGTTTTTTAAAAAATGGTCAAATTTTCTTTTTATAATGATCTTGAAACCGTATAAATTTTAATAGATGTTTACTAAGACTAATATTTTGTATTTTTTTTATTACATAAAACTAATCCGTTAATTTTAGAGTTTATTTATAATCATCATTTTCTTAAGAATTTATTTATTTCATTTTCATAATAACAGAAGAAATCAGTATTTTTTTTCTATTACAAATCTTTCCAGATTTATTAGGTTATTTGATCATTGACATTCCCTAGGTTAGTCGACCTGCATTCATATGGTCACCTGTTATCAAGTTATGTCTCTACCTTGGTGTGACATACAGATCAAATGCCCATCCCATGTAAATTAACCGTGAAACATTTGAATAGAAAAGCATTTTAACGGTAAGACCGATTAAGTTTTTTTTACTTTAAACTTTCTACCCAGATTTCTGATAACTTTTTTGGGTTAAAAATAATGAGGGCCCGTCCAGTTAACATCGGGCCCGATTAGTTTACTAGTCCAAATCCAAATTAAAGAAGTCCATTTATAACTCTTGGTTCCTAGAGCTATAGCCCAAATTAGAACTGAGGACCGGCCCAGTTGGTATCGGCCCAGCCCACAGTCAAATTTGACGTGATCACAACGATAACCCCGTTTTTGTTCCGATCGGACTCGTTTCTTAATCGTTTTCCACCGTTACTTTTACAAAATATCACGACAACAATATTCTTCATCTATCAAAATAAGAATCACTTAAAATGGTCCACTAATAAGTTTCGATTTCAAGTTAAGAACTCTGTTTCAGTCCTTTCGGTTTCTTTCACCGAATGGATGGCCAAAAGACCCCGAATAGAAACGGGACTTTGAATATACGTAACCGAACACCAAGGAACAATTAAATTAAGAAAACAAAAAGGGATAAGTACCTTAAATCGATGTAAGAACACTAGATCGCTACTATACTTTATATATATAGGGGAGCAGTAATTTGCAAACCACCAATCTTCATACAAACCGTGTAAACTGAGATCGACTAATCACAAAATTCCATGTTTTTTTGAATTTTTTTTTATCTTAAGGGTTATTTCATCATTTTGATGTTGACGGTTACATAAGGCAATTAACAACTCCCTTATTTTTTGCATTTAATTTATATGGTATTGGCGCTTAATCATTTGAAAACTCTAAAATTTGTGAGATCCGTGAGAATTATTAGGTTTTGTTTCACATGATTTTTTTTCCGTCTAAATATAGTATTTAATGTATTTGATTAATATATATTTGTTTTGCAATGTGTTTGTTTTATATGTAGTTGTTTTACAATGTGAAACTTTTTATGTGTATTTTTTTTGTTTCACGAACACAAAAAATGTTCACATTGTGAACAGAATACATGTGAAACAAACACACAGTAAAAAAAATATGTTAATCAATATTCTAAATCATAGTCTTAGATAAAAAAAATCATATGAAATAACACATGATGCACAATTTATCAAGGTTATCACAATTTCATGGTTCTCAAGAAAGGGTCCCCTATATTGTAGTTATCCCTTATTTAATATTCTCTTTGTTTGTGGAATGTAGATAATATTAATTTCGGTAACCATTTTTTTTTATCAAATTATATATATTGTTTACTTTCGTTTCTAAAATAGTTGTTCCATATCAATCATCTTGTTAATTTCTTTTGCAGGTGTTCGTCAATGGTGGGTTCGATTCACGATTTTGGTGCCAAGTACCAATGGTGAAGCAGGTCATGAAACAATTTTTGAAACAGTCTACTGCCATGGGTCAATGTTGAGTGATTAATCTGGTCATGATACAGGTGATGAAACAGGTCATGAATTAATATTCAGTGATGAAACCATAAACTCATTCATTTTGATACATGAAACAATAAAACTGAGACATAAAACAATGAACCCAAGAAATTGATACATGAAACAGTGACACTGATTCATAAAAAGATGAAGACGCGCAAGGTACAAGTTTATGAGTTGTTTATCGGTACTATAAAAACCATAATTTTTATAATTATTTTGTATTAATTATATGGTGTCACCGTTTGAAAAAATTTCTGGTCCGTCCCTGCGCTTTTTGCGGTTGACAAGGTAACTTCTTCTATTTTGGTACATTATGATCATAATCCGTTGTTAGAAATCTTAAAGATTTTCTTTACCATAAATCTAGAGCTTGTTTCGAGCTATAGTGGAAAGAGATTTATCATATGCATAAGCAATAATCAACAACAATGGGATTAGAGTCGAGAATCCGGACATGACAGTTCGCTACCGTTGTATAATTATATCGTTTTATGGATGCGAGATATGAGTTACGTTGTATGTTTTAGCGAAGCCAAGTAATCTGGAAGGTTCTGTTCGCCGCACGTTTATGGTAAATTGCTAAAATATTATCTCTATGACTGTGCTTAGGAGATAAGATAAATAACATTTTATGAACGAGGACTATAAATAATTAACAACAATATGTTTGGTATCGAGTTTTGTCGAATTTTAATTAGCTATTGATGAATTAGGGGTTGTTCGGTAATAGTTTAATGAGTTGTATAACATGTATGGCTTATTCTGTAAGTGATGCACAAGTGTTCGAAAATGGCTTAATGGGCCAGCAAAGGGCTTGTTCGCTCAGCACTCAAAGTAGAGTCGTATACATTCAACCGGCCCTTTTCCCTCACTACCCTTGGAAAATGTCATTTGGATTAATTGGGATGCTTAATCAATTAAGCTACATCAAACAAAATGTCATGTATTACACATGTTGTGCAACCCTGTATTTATTACACTTATTCATCAATGGCTAACTAAAAGTCGACAAAACTCGATACAAAATGTATTTTTATTCATGATTTACAGTCCTTATTCGAAAAATATCACTCTTCTTATCTCCTACGAAGAGTCTCTTCGATAATATTCGGGCGATTCACCACAAACGGGCGACGAACAGAACCTTCCAGATTCGTTGGCTCCGCTAAAACATACAGTGGTAACTCATATCTCGCACCTACAAAGCGATAAAACATGAGCTAATGACACAAGCTTATGTTCAAGAACTCGATAAAGAAAAGGTTAATGTACCTCCCTCATCGTAGCAAACTGTCATGTAGGGATTCTCGACTCTAATGCCATTGTTGTCGATAATTGCTTGTGCATACGGTAAATCACTTTCAGCTGCAGCTCGAAGCGCACTCCAAATTTCTGATGAAGAAATTCTTTTAGATATCTAACAGCGAATTACGATTATATCATACTGAAATTGAAGAAGTTACCTTGTCGGCCACCAAAATGTGGAGCGTTATGCCAGAACATGTTGCGCATATTGGTAAGTTGTTCCCCGGTTATCGGACGGTTATGCCTCCACGGCCTCGGCTTTCTTAATCTGTTAGGTCGATTATGTGCAGGAACACGGAAACATGCAGTTTCTAACAAAAACCGAAATCAAGAAACAACTGAACCACATTAAGTCTATTTGGATCACTCGAACTCGATTATTCATAGATACACGAATACTTCAAATGGAACTTTAGATCGAACAACATGCGATTCGAGATTAACAACCCAAGATTTTGTAATCTTAACTCGAAATTTTGTTAAGAACCAAGATCAAAACCATTGATCCAACTTAGAAGAAACAAATCATCGAAGGGAATTTGGTTGAGACTACAGAATTTCAAGAAACACCAAAACCAAATCATCATAGAACAGCGATTACTGATGCAAGAACGCTCATAGATCCATCAAATTAACCAAAACCCTTTCTGTAAGCAACTAATTAACCATTCAAATCACTTCATGTTTAGCAACAAATCCAAATATCCACAATCAGACATACGAAAATTGATCAGAATACATAAAACCCACATTAGGGTTACCATTATTTCACATCTTACAATCTTGAGGAACATTAAAGAAAACCCAATAAAAAGCTTGGAAAGTTGAAATACTTACCTTGGTCATTAACCACATTTGATGACTTAACACAACCCATTATGATCGATTTTGTTGTATAGAAATGGGGTTTTAATTCTTGCGAACGCATTATGATTTAACAAAAATGAAGAAACATCGATGAACATCAAGAATATACAAGTTCCAAATGCAAATGAAGAACCCAAACCCAGATTTGCATTCGAAAACGGAATTAGGCATGTTTGTTCTTATCGATTTAGGGGGTTTTCGATGGATTTAGGAGTCGAAGTCTGAGAGTTGTTTTGGAGCAAGATCATCGATGAAACCCATATAAGGGGAGGAGGAAGAATGAAAAAGAAAAGGAAACTGGAGAAGGGGGTGGGGTTTTCGTCGGAAAATGGGAGAGAAAGGAAAGGTTTTCGCCGGAAAATGGGGGAAGGGAGGAAAGGTTTTCGCCGGAAAATGGGTGAGGGAGGAAGGGTTCACCGTTCACGTTGCAGGGAGTTATCATGGATTTTAGGAAAATGGAATTGCATATGATTTTTTCTTGTTTAGGGATGGAAAAAAACCCGAAACGACGGTGAAAAACGAAAACCCGAACATTTGGGTCAGGTTTGGGGACATCATATTGGATACGTGGCAGGGATCGGGGATAAATTCGGGGATTTTAACAGGGACGTGGCCGGGAACGGTGATCACCGGCCCGACCAGATAAGTATACATATATTAATTTTAATATATATATATATATATATATGGGTTTAATCAAAGGAGAACTAATTAGTTTGTAGTAACTGTGAGAACCAATATTAACCATAAATCAATAAATAAATTAGGAAATTTATAATTTTGGCAATTTTGAATTAAAATATTAATGCAAGTATATTTTTGGTATTTTAAAATTTTCCTCCCTCCTCTCTTCTCTCTCCGGCCACCGTTCGCCTGCCACCGTTCTCCGGTGATACTACAATGGTATCACAATGCATCATATATGTGTTTGGGTATCACATTGATGTCGTTTGTGTGGTCGATCGAAGATGTAACACAATGGTATCACTATGCATCTTATATATGATTAGGTATCACAATGTATTTTTTGTTTAACAGAGTCAATATTTTTAGGTATCACAGTGGTATCATAGTGGTATCACCGGAGGACGGTGGCCGAAGGCCGGAGAACGGTGGCCGGAGAGAGAAGAGAGGAGAGAGGAGAGTTTTAAAATAACAAAAATATCATTGCATTAAGATTTTAATTTAAAATTACCAAATTTATAAATTTCCTAATTTATATATTGATTTGTGATTAATATTGGTTCTCACAGTTACCACAAACAACTCAGTTTTCCCTTGAATAGGCCCCTATATATATATATAATATCCCATTAAAGTTTAAAAGACTTTTATCCGTTTTACCTCAACAATTCAAATAAAGCTTATAAAAAAAATCTTGTTTATTTGTCTAATCGTGATTTTAGTTGTATGATGTTTGAATTTCTGTTTAGTTTTATATTGTAATCTAATACATTGTTTGTAATTGGTTCGATTATGTTTGAGACATTTAAACTTACATCTTTAAAAAATTGTAATATACTTTTAGTTGTGAAAATTAACATATTGAAATTCTTTTTAGATCGGTTTCGGGTTCGGTTATAACCAATGGTGAATTGGAAAAAGAAGATTTTTACCCTTAACGGGTTCTCCAACGGAGATCGGGGAAACTGCGGGGATCTGATGGAGATCCCGATGGGGATCAGGGCGGTTATGAAAACGGTTTTAGTTATCGGTTTCGGAAACGGGGATACCAATAACCGGTCCAAACCCGGCCTCTTGTCATTTCTAGTCTTATTTGATTTATTTAGTGATAAATATTATATACTTTACATTTTAATTTAATAATAAAATATAAAAAAAAAATGGTTTCATTTCCGATGCGTGACTCTGTATATGAATAGAATGCACATAGTCTACATCTCCGGTGTAATTCACGAAGGTTATATTAAAGTAGATAAAGTTGTCAATAACACCCATTTATTTTCTATTTTTATTTTAAATATTATATATATAGAGAGATAGAGAAAAACATTCAAATAAAAACCATTCAATTTGTACAAATTGTGCAAACCTCATTCAACCAATCATAATTTTTTATTTTGTTCATTTTTTTGCAATTATGAGAGGTTGATTAACCATTTTTATTGTGGGGGGTGTTAATCATGGATATTATCATCTTCATGATTTTAATTTTAGAGAAAATATATGAAACAATTTCATTAAAATTTCATCAAATACTATATGAAACAATTTCATAACTATATATGAAACAAATTCATCAAAAAAGTATTATTATATGAAACAATTTCACAAGATTAAACAATTTCATAAAAAAATTTATAAGATTAATCAATGAAATCGACGTATGAGGGTGGTTTGTACGGTTTGCACAAATGAGAGTGGTTTTCATTTGATCGCTCATATATATATATATATATATATATATATATATATATATATAGGAGCCTATTCAAGGGAGAACTGAGTTGTTTGTGGTAACTGTGATACCATTGTAGTATCACCGGAGGACGGTGGCCGGAGAGAGAAGAGAGGAGGGAGGAAAGTTTTAAAATACCAATATAAACCAATTATTTTAGATAATTAATGTTATTTACTAAAATAAACCAAATGATAAATTAGAAAATTGTGTTGATTATCCAACTTACTTTAATCAGTTTAATATTCCAATTTACTTTAATTAGTTTAATTATTTTAATATATGTATATATATATACACACACACATGGACACAGAGGGCCAAATCCGGTGGCCTTCTCCGGCACCCACCACCACTCCGGTGACCTCCTCCGGTCATCTTGTCTGACCAAGACGCCGTATCCGGTGATCAACCACTAAACACCCACCTACGATAGTGGTACTACCGCTGGTAGCACAGTGGTACCACAATAGTTATCACAGTGGTACCACAATTGGTATCACAGTGGTCTCAAAGTTTACCTGGTGTTTTTTGGGTATTATATTGTATGTATTTTGTGTATCACATTGTGTATCTTGGTATATTTTGGGTATCACATGGTCTTCGTTGGAAGCCGAAGGTAGGAGAGAGAGAGAGGGGGGGGGGGRGAGATAAAAAACTTAAAATACCTAAAATGCCCTTTAATTATAATTTTAAGTCAAATTACCAAAAATATTAGTTTTCTGATTTATCCATTAATTTGTGGTTGAAATTAGATCTCACAGTTATCGCAAACTAATCAGTTCTTCCTTGAATGGACCCCTATATATATATGGCTCATTCAAGAAAGAACTGATTAGTTTGTGGTAACCATGAGATCCAATCTCAACCACAAATCAATAGATAAATTAGGAAATTTATAATTTTGATAATTTTGAATTAAAATTTTAATGCAAGGACATTTTAGGTATTTTAAAAGTCTCGTCTCTCCTATCTTCTCTCTCTCTGTCGCCCGTCCTCCGGCCACCGTCCTTCGGTGATACCACAATGGTATCACAATACATCATATATGTGTTTGGGTATCACACTGAGGTCGTTTGTGTGATCGATCGGAGATGTAACACAGTGGTATCACAATGCATCTTATATATGTTTGGATATTACACTGTGTCTTTTGTTTAACATAGTCAATATTTTTAGGTATCACAGTGGTATCACCGGAGGACTGTGGTCGGAGGCCGGAGGACGGAGAGAGGAGAGAGCAGAGAAAATACCTAAAATGTTCTTGCATTAAAATTTTAATTAAAAATTACCAAAATTATAAATTTCCTATTTTATAATTGATTTGTGGTTGAGATTGGATCTCACGGTTACCACAAACTAATCAGTTCTTTCTTGAATGAGCCATATATATATATATATATATATACATATGTATATATATATATAAGGTTGGGTTCACGTGAGACCACTGCACAAATATGCTCCAAACATATATATCGTGAGACCCATAAGACCAATTTATGTTCATTGATCGACTTTATAAGCTAATGATCTTATGGTCTAAAGTTGCATGATGACAATTTTGTGATTATTGAGAAGTCTCGTGGCAATTTTATGATTATTAATGTTCAGATTGTAGACCTAATCTAAAGTTTGAGAATTGGTTTTACGGTTTTTACGAAAAACTCTTGGTCTCACATGATCCCAAGTCTATACATATATCCAAGATTTATGTTATAATTGTACCCAGATGAGATTTGTATTTAAATGACAAATATATTTTATTTTTTAATATCAAAATTAAATAATCTAGTTTTTAGTTTCTAATTCAATTAAAATAATTAAAAGTAATAACAAAATAAACAGTAAGTTAATAAATAAGAAAAGTCATAATATATAAGTTTTTTTGAATTAATCAAATTAAAAATAATAAGACTAAAGACTTAAATAATTAAAAACTAGTAGATAAAAGAATAAAGAGTTGTTTACCAAACACTTACTCGATAAATACTCACCAGTAAAATTTAGAAAAAATACCAATATAATCATTTTATACCTCTTATATAAACAAAATAACCATTTTCTAAGCCAAATTGCAAAAATATACACCCAAATCACTCCCGGAAGGCGATCCGGACATGGTTGGGTCGATCCCCATTAAAAAATAGGAAAAAGTACAAAAAAAATTAAAAAATTATTTTTAGTGGGTCCCACATGCTCTTTTTAGGGTACAAGACATGTCAGGCTTCGATTTGCATGGATCTACCCTTGGGGACGATCCACGTCACCCCATCCCCCCCCCCCCCCCCCCCATTTTTTATTTTTTATTTTATTTATGTTTACATATATACGTATATATACATGTATATATATAGGTTTATATAGGTATGTATTTATATACGTATATATATATATATATTTTTTCANCCGGTGGTGATCCAGCCTAGAAATATATTTTTTAAACACGATTTATGTATATTTTCAAAAAATTGAGAATTTTTACCGGTTTTTCCATAGCATAAAGTGGCAGCAGAAGGTAGCTGGTGGTGACGGCACACGGTGGTCGGTGGCGGCGGAAGGTGGTCTATTAAGAAGAAGGGAAAAAAACCCTCTAACCTATGATTCAGTTCGCAAAGAGGAGGGGTGACTTTACCCAAATATATATAAGATAAGTCTCGGGTACAATCCCGAGCCCCAGCGCTAACTCAGCCTTCGAGTGAGGCAAAAATTATATCGACTCCTAATATTGATGTCCTTGAAGATGGATTCTGTATGAGATCGATTAAGACTGCTAGTAATCAACTTTATATACAAATAAATAAATTGTTTTTGCATAGTCATATATATATATATATATATATATATATATTTTTTGTTGGAAGAAATTAGACGACCATTTATTAAAATGTTCATGAATTTATACTTTATTTATATATTTAATATTTATTAATATTTACAATTTAAAAC